CAACCACTACTACTACTACGACGACGACTACTACTACTACTACTACTACGACTACTACTACTACTACTACTGTTACTACTACTGTTACAACAAAAAACAACTACTACTACTACGGCTACTACTACTACTACTACTACTACACTACTACTACTACTACTGTTACTACTACTGTTACAACTGTTACTACGACTACTACTACTACTACTACTACTACTACTACTGCTACTACTTCGTACCACCACTACTACTACTACTACTACTACTACTACTACTACTACTACTATTACTACTACTACTACTACTACTGCTACTACTACTGCTACTACTACTACTACTACTACTACTACTACTACTACTAGTACTAGTACTACAACTACTACTATTGCGAAGGCCTTACGGCCGGTGCCGCCGACCCTGAATGGCGACGACGACGACGACGACGACGAGCGCTCTTGGGGGACTCTTGGGGGTAGTTTGTGGGCCTCTTGGGAAGCTCTCAGGGGCCGCTTGGAAGCCTCGTGGGGGCCTCTTGGGGCTTCCTGGGGGTCTCTTGGAGGGGGCCTGGGACGTCTTGGAGGCTTCTTGGACGGTCTTGGGGCTATCTTGGGCGTATTCGGCCGATCTTTGGGCGACTCGGGGCCCTCTTGGGCCGTCTCGGGGGCCATCTTGGGCATTCGGACCTCATTTGGAGTGTTTTCGAGGTTTCTAGGCCGCCCGAGGGAAAACGAATCTGCCCCCCCACCCCCCCCGGGACACCCCCCGGCCCGGGACCCCCCCCGGGACCCCCCCGGACCCCCCCCCCTGGGGAAGGGATCGAAGGGAAGGGGCTTCCCTTCGACTCGATTACGACACTGCTAGATTTTTCTCTCGCTCACGAGCTTGAGAAGGAAGCTGCAGGGAAAGGGGGCGACGGAGGCGACGACCGACGGAGACGACGACTCGAACAGCCAAGCCCCTCGCACACGCCGACAGGGTCGGCGGATTTGCCAGCTGTGGCGGCCTGGGCAGGGGGGCAGATCATGTCCAACATGCTTACGCCGAGTGACGCGTAGAGAAATTTCTGCACGGTATTTCAGGGCAGGGGCGCGGCGGCGAGGCACTGGGCACCGTTGTTGCACGCGGAGCGGTGAAATGATGCAGAACGCGGCGTGCCCGAACATCTTCGAACATTTGAGTGCCCATGTGCGCGCAATTTGCCGTGCCGCGCTCGACAGTTGCAAGCTTCGACGTGGTCGCTGTGCTCTCGCCTGCCGTTGGCGCAGGGGGTCCGCGGTCGCGCCGCCGCCAATTCTTGCGACGCCCCGCCGTCGACGTCGCCCTGTCGTGGCGCCGCCTGGCTTTGCCCCGAGGCTTCGGGGCGGCGCGATCCGCGCGGCCGCCAGCCTCTGCGCCCCGACTGCTCCGAGGGTTTCGGGCGCGCCTGCCGGCGGCCTGCGCGTCGCAGACGGAGGTCGAGAAGAGCGGCCGCTGGCGCCCAGGCAGGAAGGCGGGCTCGGCAGCTGCGTCGGCGAGTGGCGGGACATGCTCCAGAGGCGAAGGAGCTCAGGGCGACCGCGAGAAGTCGCGGGCCGAGGGCGGCCAAGGATCGCTCGCTGCGCAGCGGGGGCCGAGGGCGCAGCGGCCGAGCCTCGGGCCCGCCGTGGAAGCCGACGCCGCACCGAGGCCTGGGGGGGGGAAGTTCGCGACGAAGAACGAGGGCCTGAAGCAGTTGCTCTGGTTGCTGGCCATGCAGGTGGCTCAGCCCGCGCAGAAATCGAGCGGCGCGAGGGGTCACTGCGCGCGCCGTGCTGACGGACGAGAAGAGCGAGGCGGCGGTGGCGACGCAACAGGGGTCGGAATGCTTCGCCTCCCACGCTGCCAGGCTTCGGACGCGCGTGGGGCAACTCAAAGAGGAGGCCAAGAAGGCGCAGAACAAGGGCGCGACGTCGGCGAAGGAGGCGGGGGCCGCTGCCGAGCGGCTCGCGACGGAGCTTCGAGGCCTCGGGCCGCCAGCGCCAGCGGTCCACGCGGCGATGGCGAAGTGCTTGATCGGCCAGGAGATCGGCGAGAAGAACCGCCAGATACCCGGAGCGCTCAGGCCGGAATTCGAAGAGCGCCAGCCGCAGCGCGTTCGACCTTGCCGTTTGGGGAGCTGCACGGGCCAGGGCATGATCAATATCGTCTCCGCCCTGGACGACGGTGCGAAGGGCCAGCTGATCACCGAGAGCTTCGAGGCCACGGGGGCCGCCGTCGCCCTGCAGATGGCCCCAGCGGGGTGCTTCGAGGAGGAGATTCCGGCCTGGATCGACGCGCTGACGAGCTGGGGCCTAGGCTGTCACCGGGCCCCGCCCGAACGCCGAGGGGCGCCTTCCTCGCTCTGCGCCGCGGGGAAAATGCAGGGGTCATCCCGCCCTCCTTCAGCGTTGACGGTGGACGGGGAGTATGTCAATGAGTGAAGGTTCGCTTATCGCGTGCGCGCACGCACTGCGCCTGAGTCCATCGAGCGTCTGGCGGCACAGCCGTGCGCACCTGGCAAACAGGTAACCCATGGGGGTGTGGACGGCGGGCGCTGTTATGATTATATTCCGCATTTTTGGCCCGTTCCCTTTCGTTCGCCTCTCTCATCGCCTCTCGATCGCGGCAAATCGGCCTTTTCTTCGGTCCTCGCTCGGCCCTTTCGACGGCGGTGGCCCCCGCGCTGGCATGAAACAAGCCATGCCCCACACCTTTTGGAATACCTCTTGTGCGTGAGGGGTGTCGGACAACTGCTCCTGGCCGCCCATCGCCGGTCAAGGTTTGAATATTTCGTGAGCCCTATTGCTCGCGGCGTGTCCCATGAAGCGTGGGGTATTTTTCCATGCGCGGCGCGCTCCGCCTCGGACCGTGCGCCTCTGCGAGTGGTTTATTGCTCTAATTTCTAACTGCCCGATAGCCGTGTGCAAGCAAGCGAACTCCTCTTCCACCCGTCGCCTCCATACCCTTCCTTCCGCATCCCCCCCTCCATCCTCCCTCCCTCCCTCCTCCATCCCCCGTTCATCCCGTCATCCATCCCCCCCTTTTCATCCCCCTTCCATCCCCTCCATCCTGCCCAACCTCTGGCCCGCTTCCTCCCCGTTCCCCCCATTCCACCCCCACTCTTCCCCCAGCGTTTTCTTTCCATTTCCTTTCCTTCCTGGGAGGAGGGGGGAGCAATTGCATGCGAGGAATGATCGGGAGGCATGGGAGGCGAAGGTGGAGAGGATGATGAGGTGGGGGAGGAGAAAGGGGGGGAGGAGAGAGAGGGAGGGAGAGAAAGAGAGAGAGAGAGAGAGATGAGAGAACGAGGCGTAAGTATAACGGGACAGATGAGCATGGAGAAAAGGGTCAGGAGAAGGAGGATACGTAACCCATCCTGTTTTCCCTCTGGCTCCTTCCCCCCCGTCCTGCCATCTCTCGTCCTTTCCGGGCTCCAGTCGCCGCCGCCCTGGCCGATGCTGCCCCCCGTTCCTCCACCTCCCCTGTCTTTCTGAGGCCAGCCCTGCAGGTGGCCTGCCCCAGGTTGCGTGGGCGGCGTGACACGTGGCTCCCCAGGAGAAAAGGGAGGATGTGGGGATGCAAGGGGGAGAGGACGGACGGACAGAGGAGCGTCGCAGGGGCTGACGAAACAGGTATAAGGAGAGGGGAGGGATGATGATGATGATGATGATGATGATGATGATGATGATGATGATGATGATGATGATGATGATGATGATGATGATGATGATGATGATGGTGATGATGATGATGGGATAATAATCGTAGAGCATGAGTGTTGATGTGCACCGACAGTTTGGGGTGGGATCGTGGAATTTTCCTAGGAGCCTCGGAGCCCGCAGGGGCGTGCCAGCTTGTGGGGGGGCCTTTTCGCCGGTGGGCCACGTTCCTGGCCTGGCTCCCCTCGGCCCTCCAAAACGGGTGGGCTCGGTAGGTTTGGTTTTGGTTGCCCGTGAAGGCCCCCTGCCCTCGCGTGTGCTGCACGGCCTGCTCCGCAACCGTTTCATGTGGCTCCAATCTGGTACAGATTATCGCGAGGACTGGGCGCCCAGCCCACCTCGCAGCAGGGCGCGGCATGGCGCCCTGACGGGAGCAGCGGACTCCACCCGTGGAATCATAGATTGTGCGAGGCCGTGGCGCGCTGCCCAGGAGCAGCAGGCCACGGCGAGCTGGTGTGCTGGACGCCGAGCGCCGCAGGCGCGACGACGCCAGGCAGAGCAGGATGGCAGTGTCGGCAGGAGCCAAGAAGGCGGGGACCGACGCGCTGCGGGCCGCTGGTGCTGACGTTACGGACGACGACGTCGCGGGCCTCGTCCTGAAGGTGAGGGCGACGCTGAACGCGGGGCGGGCCCCCCGTTCGAAGCTATTGTGTTTTGGGGGTTTTTTCTTTCGCTTCTGGTTGGATCGTTTTTTGTGTTGGTGTTTTGTTTTTACTTTTGTTTTTTGTTTTGGTTCTGGACGAGGCGAGACGACTGGAGGCAGCGCTGGACCCGGTGGCCATCCGCCTGGCGCTGGGGAACCCGGAGGTCCCGGGCTCTGAGATGGCCGAGGCCCTCTGGGGGTTCACTGAGGCCGCCACGTACGCCACGCAGGCGGAGAGCCGGATCAGGAGAGTGGCGGCCGATACCGATGGCTGGGAGAGGATCGCGGATTGGATCTGGGCCCGTGCAGTCGGCGACGACGGCGGCACGCTGCCCACCGACTGGCTGCTGCACCTGGGCATAGGGCTCCTCCTGTCCAGCCTGGTGGTGGTGCTTGGGGCCGACTCCGGGCGGCACCGCCTGGCAGGCGCCGCTGTGGGGCTGTGCGGCACCGTCCTGCTAGTACGGCGCGTGCCCGAGCGTGTGGTTGCCTGGTGGGCACGCTGGAGGCGGCGCTCGGCCTTCGCCGCGGCGCTGAGGAGCGGCGGGGACGGCATGGACCTGACCGCCGCCGAGGACGACTGCGCGGCCTGGGACGCGAAGGGGGCCCCGACGACCAAGGGGGGTGGCGCGGGGGCCACGGAGGCTCCTACTGGCCCGCTGCACCCCCCGGGGCTGGCAGCGCTGCCGCCGTCGCCGTGGGCCCCACCTGCCGAAGGCGTGGGCGGGGGCGCCCCGCCAGCAAAGCCCGGCGCGCAGGACCTGGCGGCGCTGCGGGCGTTCGGCCAGGGGTCCGAGGTGCCAGGCCCCTTCAGCCAGACGGCGGCCCTGCAGCAGCAGCAGCAGCAGCAGCAGCAGCAGCAGCAGCAGCAGCAGCAGCCACAGCCGAGCCCAGAGGTGGGCGTGCCAACGTCGGGGCTCAGCTTCCACGCGCCCCATGCTACTGCAGACGCGGTGAAGCTAGGGCGCGAGGTCCAGATGGTGGGCGCCACGCTGCGCGAGTTCCAGGCGCAGGCGGCCACGAACGTGTACTGGGCCTGGCACTTCTGGGAGAGAATCGCGGCGGTGGATGGCTCCATGGGGCTGCATCCTGACCTCCGTCGCGTGCTGCAGACCCACGGCTACGTGGGCGCAGGAACGAAGTCCCCGCCAGGTGGTTCGCTGCAGCAGGAGCTGGACGCGCTGCTCTCCTCCGCCACAGCGCCGCACGGCGGGGGCATGCACGCCTCCCCTGGGTGGGCCGTGGCCCCGGTGACCCAGCAGCAGCAGGAGGACAGCCGATGGAACCTCAGCCTCCCGCCGGACCTGCGGCGCGCGGCGCCGGAGATCTACCGCACCATGCGGGGCGCTGGGGCGGCCAGCGCTCGCGACTGGCTGTCGCAGGAAGTGACGGGCCAGCGACACACGGCAGTCTGGACCGACCTGTGGACTGCCGCCACCAACGTGGACTACTTGCTGGGCGGGTGCAGGACCCAGTCCGAGCTGCTCACCCGCCTGGCGTCCGACGATGCGCTGGAGCTGCACCTGGGGCGGCTGGCGAGCTACGTCTACGAGATGCGGACGAAGGACAAGGTGGGTGCGGCGGCCATGTTGGCCGTGCGCCCGCCCGGGTCGGCCGCCGACTTGGCTCCCGCGTGGCTGGTGACCGAGGCCGCGACCCGCAGCAAGGCTGAGCACCAGCGCGACGAGAGGGTCCACGCCGCCAGCAAGCGCGACAACCGAGGCGGCGGCCGTGGCGGTGGTCACGGAGGTGGAGCTGGCGGCGGCGCCGAGGCGGCGGGCGGCGGCAGAGGCAGAGGTGGCGATGGCGGGGGGCGCGGCCGCGGCCGAGGGGGTAAGCCCTCGGGCCGGGGCATGCCTCAGGCTTGACAGCCACTGGCGGACCGAGGGGCTTGCGACCCCCCCATCGGTCCGAGAAGGTGCCCCGCGGCCGCGGGTGCAGCCTAGAATGCCAGTGACGGGTTTGCCTGGCTCGCTGACGCGGGCCCTGCAGTGGAAGGAGGCCGAGGCCAGGTCTTTCTTTCCAGTACCTCTACCTCATCGGCCACAGCAAGGAGCTTCCTCTTCCGGCAGGTTGAGGACGCGCTGGGCTCGGCGCATGCGTGCGCGGCGTCGGGCCTGTGGGCTCATCGAGCTCATGAACGGGATGGGCCGCGGATCCCTGGAGGCGAGACCAGCGGGCCAGCGTGAGCCGAGCAACGACGACATGATGCTGGCCTGGCAGCTCGTGCAGCAGTGTGCGTTACAGGACGCAGCGCGGTACGAGCGCGACTGCCGGGGGCTTGCCCCGACAGGCGGTCAAGGGGCGGATCTTGCCTGCGACCGAGGACCGCAGGATGCCTACACAGGAGAGCGCAAGGGTGCGAGCAGGCATGTGATGATGTGCGCCGCGGCAGTTGCAGAACCCCCCGACGACATGGTCGTGGACCTGCTGGAGGCGCTGCCTGACGGCGAGCGCCAGTACTACTCGGACGAGCTGAACGTTCTGGACTACAGCGGCAAGTCGGGGGTCCTCTTCGAGGAGCTGGAGGAGCGTTTCGCCTTCGTGGGGGGCTCGACGTCCGAGTGCGCCCGCTACATGATGCGGGCCGATTTGCCGAAGGACATGTGGACGTTCGAGGGCCCCAACGACGTCCAGGCCTACTGCGGGTTCAGCTGTGTGCCCAAGAAGGGCCCCACCAAGCAGCGGAAGGTCCTGATGATGTGTGCCAGCAACTACGTGTGGGCCGACCCCCACCAGCGCGGAGACCACGGGATGCACGGCGGAGCGGCCATCGCCTCCATGTGCGCCCCGACGGACGAGTGGGGCGTAGCAGCGTTCGACGAGGACAACGCCTTCACCCGCCTCCGCGTCCCCGCTTGGATGGCCAAGTGGCAGGCTTGCCCGCCGATCCGCGCCTGCTGGGCGCGGGGGGAACTCAGCCAGCGCTTGCGCGACTTGGTGGGGCCGACGGGCTGGATAGCCCCCTGCTACCACCGCCTGGCCATGGGCGGCTCGCGCTCCGTGCGCCTGCTCATGACGGTCAACATGGCGATAATCGGCAGGGCGCTGCTGGGCGTGGGCGCTCGCTTGGGGGCGCTCGCGGGCGCCGCGGAGCCCGCCGAGGGCGGGGCCAGCGGTGCGCCGCGCGCCTCGCCGCCCGAGGACGGGGGGCTGGAGGCGGACGACCTGGGGGATGCCGGACCTGAGGACGCTCAGCAGCATCGCTACGACGACGACTGGCTCGGGCAGCAGTCCAGCTGCCGTGCCGCGCCGCCTAGCCCGTCGGGCTACAGCGTGGCGGAGTGGCTAGAGGCGGTGAGGCGGGCG